CCCCCCCCCCCCCCCCCTCTAAACAGCTTTTAAAAACAAAAAGCGTCCCTATTGGGCCACGTTTCTTCAAAAAACAACTATTATCACAAAAGACGTGCGCGAGCTACCTTTTTAAGATGCGGGTGGAGCGTTCTACCTGAAAACCAAAACCCCTTTACACCTCATGAAAAAGCGAAACCGCCGACCCTCCAATTTATCCATTCGTGTGTGCCCATTGCGTCGTCGTCAACAAGAGTCGAGTTCCTCTCATCATCCTTTCATCCTCTCGGTCACCTACTTCGCTTTCCAAGCAATGGAAAGACGAGAGCCACTTCCACTTCTTCAAAGGCCATGCCTCCCATAGCGACACCAGGATTTCACTGCAGGTGTCAGTGGAGCAGCAGCGGTATTTTCTGCTGTATTTCCACCTTATTATTCGATTCGGGACAACACAGGAGGAGCGATTATTTCCGCCGGACAGATTTCCGATTTGACGTGGCCGATCTGTACCCTTGTTGCCATTGAGGTGGCATCATAGGCCCACTGTCGACATACACTGCTGGATCCTACGCTGTGCACGTTCAAAGCAGCGGACCCCATACTCGGAGTATTGTCCAACGGCTTCCACCACCTCTTCTATACACGCCCACACAGCAGGCCGCTCGAGCTCATGAAACGGTTATGGCGTACCAGGGCGAGGTGTCTCGCGCGACGAGAAGTGCAGCCATCAGGAACATGTACAGGGCACATCCTTGTCGGCAGCTCGCGGTTCGGCGGGGAGGAACGTCTGCAAGTTTTTTTATTGGCCGGCTACCTCAGCAGCTTCAAAGAGTAGTCAGGACCGACTGGTCGATCTCAAATCTTGTCAAGAGTCAGGGATCGACAAGGCGGCGAGGAAAGACAGCCACGACAAGGGGAAGACGAGGCGGTGGAGGGGGGCCGCTCTGACGGTTTCAGGCGTAGCAGCAGAAAGAGGACTGCGAGGGGTCGCGTCAGGAAAAATCGTGCGTCGAGACCACCAGTAGTCGGACACGGTTCGACCTTTCAATACGATTGCAGCAACTAGTCTGTGTAGCAGTAGAAAAAATCTATCTCTCCGTGGCATGTATTACCTTGTTCTAGAAATATTCCGGAAGCATGCTAGGTCAAGGTCGACCGCGACATCTACGTAGAACGTGTGTAGCTTCTGGGAACGTTCTGGAACCTTCTGGAACCTTCTGGAACCTTCTGGAAGCGTTCTAGACCTAGGTTGCACTTGATACTCTTCTAGAACGTAGGAGGGCTTCTAGAATCATTCTGAAAGCATTCTAGATCTTTCGTGTGATTGGCTTATTTTTCCGGTATTCGAGGAGAGTGATGCAGCCCTAAGCTCGCCACCCCTCTCACTCCTCTTCAGTACCAGCAACATCAATCTGACTCGGGAGTCAGCAATAGTAGAGTTGGAGGAGGAATAGTTTTTTGTGGTGGTTGCACAAAAGTACCTGCAGTAGGNGAACGTTCTGGAACCTTCTGGAACCTTCTGGAACCTTCTGGAAGCGTTCTAGACCTAGGTTGCACTTGATACTCTTCTAGAACGTAGGAGGGCTTCTAGAATCATTCTGAAAGCATTCTAGATCTTTCGTGTGATTGGCTTATTTTTCCGGTATTCGAGGAGAGTGATGCAGCCCTAAGCTCGCCACCCCTCTCACTCCTCTTCAGTACCAGCAACATCAATCTGACTCGGGAGTCAGCAATAGTAGAGTTGGAGGAGGAATAGTTTTTTGTGGTGGTTGCACAAAAGTACCTGCAGTAGGCTCGTGCGTCTGACACAGAAGAAGAGCGGGGGGCGAGAGGGGGGTGGTATCCATCATCATTCGCTAGAGGGGGGGGTGGTGTCCATCATCAGCTAGCGAGGGGGGTGGTATTCATCGTCACCAGCTAGAGAGGGAGGGGGGTGCTATCCATCGTCATCAGCTAGAAGTGAGGAAAAAAAATGCTTTGAAAAATTCCCCGGCTTGTGCTGCTGCTGCTGCTGATTGTTTGAACAGGACGCTTCCGCCACCGCTTTAGATAACAGCAACAGCAGCAGCAGCAGAGGCGAAACACCCTCTCGCCCACAATGAGTGTAGAGAGGTGCACAGCACAGCAGTGGCACTACATCGTCTAGGAACGAGCGTGATATTTTACTGGTCCCGTGNCAGACCAACCAAACGTTCCCCGCTTCCTCCGCCGTCGCCAACAGCAGTATGTGTGTGTGTCCCGCCCCCCTTGTCCATGTTCCCTGTCTCTGTGTAGTGCGTGTCTTGCCATTAGCAGCAGCATGTGTGCAGCACGGCGGCAGCGCGTCGCGGTTTCTTCTTGCGTGCGTGTAGTTTGTTGCCCAAAGAGAAACAAAAATGACGACGCCTCCCGGGGATGCGTCCATGTGACATATATATTTGCACAAACGGTGTGCTGTCTCGAGACACCGACCACGGATTGCAAAGGTAGCGGTTGGGACAGCTCGGGCAAAATATTACTTGTTGTGCGCAAGTTTTTGTTTGCAATTTGGTGCCGAGATGGTGAAATGGGCTCGAGTCTGCTGGGTATTTAGGGCGCGCAGACACCAGACAGACACCAGACACCAGACACCAGACACCAGACACCAGACAGCCATGGCTAAATTTTCACCCCCCTGTGCATGAAAATTATTCTTTTTCTCGTGCGCACATACTCCACCCATGATCCCTCTAAACAGCTTTTTTTTTGCAAAACAAAACAAAAAGCGCACCCCTAACGGACCACACTTTTCACAAAAAAAAACTATAATAAAAAAAAAAACTATTAAAAACATCGTCATATTTCCATTCCAAGTCTCTCGCGGTTGGAGACGCACAGAGTGTGAACGTCTGAGGTAGGCTGCACAGCCTCCTGGCATCTGCAGCATCGTACTGCTGCTAGTGCACAGCGAAAGTATGCAGGTTATGAGCCTCGGCTAAAGCACGCACTACGACTGCGAGCATCACGGGAATATCAAGGCAACCTCCTCTCGGGACATCAGCCTTCATCCGTGGACAACGAGAGAACGTGGTTTCGGAGATTTCTGGAGATTGCGACGCCGTCATCGGTGAACGGCACCACAAGCAAACGCGCAAGCTTGGTCATCTACACCAAGTTGCTGAGAATTCGCGTCGTATACACACGTTACCTCCGCCGCGACAGCAGTGGGTACCTCTGTGGTGAACTTGCAGCAAGGGTCACGTGCGCGGGAGTCTCGAGCGACATACGCATCGGGTGTATAAGGAACTACACCGTATCATCAGTGGAGGCGATCAGCAACCGGAGTCCTCTATATCAGTAGCAGGAGCGGGATCGGAAACAAAAAAACCACAACCGAAGACCTCTAGATCAGTAGCAGGAACGGGGTGGGGAAGTCTCGGGTACAGGCAGTAGTATCACGAGTAAACTACTCCTGCAGCAGGAAGTACTTTTATCAAGACGAAGAAAATAAAGCTGGAATGAGCAATGGATACCGCAACGAGCAACACAGGAGGTGGAAGCGCGTTCGCCAGCGATAGTTCTACAAACCTGGCAACCGTGATCAAAGGCCTCAAGAAATTCGACGGAAAGGACCCAGCTGAGTTCAANGGAACTACACCGTATCATCAGTGGAGGCGATCAGCAACCGGAGTCCTCTATATCAGTAGCAGGAGCGGGATCGGAAACAAAAAAACCACAACCGAAGACCTCTAGATCAGTAGCAGGAACGGGGTGGGGAAGTCTCGGGTACAGGCAGTAGTATCACGAGCAAACTACTCCTGCAGCAGGAAGTACTTTTATCAAGACGAAGAAAATAAAGCTGGAACGAGCAATGGATACCGCAACGAGCAACACAGGAGGTGGAAGCGCGTTCGCCAGCGATAGTTCTACGAACCTGGCAACCGTGATCAAAGGCCTCAAGAAATTCGACGGAAAGGACCCAGCTGAGTTCAAGACATGGATGAAGAAATTCTGCGTGGTGTTAGGTGTGACCAGGAAGGACATCCTGCCACTGCTGAAGAAACAAAGGAAGCCAGATCCCGCAGACACAGCGGCCTTCGACTCCTACACAAGGGCAAACGAAGATCTCTACGCCATTCTTCTCCTCCTAGTGGAACTTTCAGCCGCCTTGTCGATACAGAAGCACGAAGACGACACTCGCATCAGCGGCGACGGACAAGCTGCCTTCGAGGAGCTCTGCAACAACTATGACAGGGTAACGGACGAGGTCATCAGGGCCAAGATGGAGGAGCTGGAGAACAACCCCATGAACCCTGGTGAAAATCCCGACNCGGACGAGGTCATCAGGGCCAAGATGGAGGAGCTGGAGAACAACCCCATGAACCCTGGTGAAAATCCCGACGACTACTTCAACCAGAAGCACCTACTTTGCACTCAGCTGGAAAAGATAGGAGAATCCATCTCCGACCGCCCCTTCAAGGACATCTGCGTACAGGGCTTCTCCGACGAATATGAAGACGTCAAACAGATGGTGTTCAGGGACCCAACCTTCAACGTCCTGGACATGCAATCCACCATGCGCAACATCTTCTTGGACGAACAATCGCGCAAGGGATGGAAGGGACGCATAGCTGGTCGAGGATTTGCCATGGCAACGACCGCGTCTGACATCATCTGCCACAGCTGCTACGAGCCGGGGCACATCAGGAGGAACTGCCCAAAGATCAAGAACAGGGCGAAGAAGAAAACGAAGCCCGCCGGAGCTACCAAGTGGTGCTCCAAGCACAACACCACGTCTCACTCGGACGAGGAATGCTACCAGCAAGGAGGAAAGCGCCCGGAAGACACCAAGGACTTCAGTAGAGCATTCACCGCGTGCTCCGACTGCACTCACTGCTCGTCGGCGTCTGACACGAACGACTCAAACAATGAAGTGGCAGTTGTCGACTTCACCCGGTACGAGGAGGCCTTCGACAGCGGCTTCACGTTCGCCACGTGTTCCCACATCTCATGACGCAACTTCGCCGCGAGCTCCACCGGGGCAGGACTGCTGGTAGACACGGGAGCATCGGAGACCATGTTTGACAATCGCCTCATCCCCGACGGAAACCTCCACGATTACACCCAGCGAAACTCTCCAAAGATCGTGGACGTGACCGGAGAAAGCCAACTCAAAGGCACGGCCACGGGCATCCTACACTGCACCGTCAAGGACAATCGAGGACAGCAATTGCGCGTGCGGATTCAGGGACTCATCGTTCCGGGACTTGGTCGCAACATTTTTTCGCCCACCTCCCTCCTGAAAAAGGGATTGCGCTGCGTCGTCGAAGAGAGCACTCCGCACCTCACTATCCAAGGCAAGGTGATTCCACTCACACAAGATCCGCGAGACCAAGGCATGTGCACCCTCGACATCACGTTCGAGCAGAACGTCCAGCCATCTGGCACGAAATCCCTCGTGCCCCACCAGAAGCAGTCACAGACCCACACGGCGAACGCCGTCTGCTTTACGCTAGTGAGCGCGGACACCTGGCACAGGAGGCTTGGACATCTCAATGCTCGGAGCCTGGACATCCTTCGGAAGGGCACGGGTACCGTTGTGGACTATCGCGACAGTCTCTCGCCTTGCGGGGTCTGCCAGATCGCGAAACACAAGCCGTCCCCCTACCCGTAGCAATCGACTCGCGATGTATCACGGCCTGGACAACTTGTGGTCATCGACAACATGGGGCCTGGTAATCCACCTGCGACGCAAAAGGAGGCTACTTCCCGTACGCGTGCAAGATCACCGACGACTACACGAAAATGAAAGAAGTGTACCTGCTTCGCAAGAAATCTGACACGATCGAGGCGGTGCACACGTACAACAGGTGCGTCGCAGCGACAGGAGGCTACCGGATCGAGACCATCCGCTGCGACAAGGGACGCGATAACACCGGATCCGAATTTCGGGACTACTGCAAGAATGTAACTATCAAGCTCAAATACGCCGCCACCAACACCCTCAACAAATTGATGTATCGGAACGGGACGGACAAACCCTGGCCGGAGTCACCCGGTGTCTTCTGAAGGATGGAGATTTCCGCCGTCCATGTGGGGGGAGTTAATGCTGACTGCAGCATACCTGTTGAACAGGTCCCCGCACTCAGCACTGGGGGGAGCTACGCCATACTCGAAGTTGCACAATAAGTCACCTGATCTCTCGGGACTTCGGGTCATTGGAGCGCGAGCCTTTGCACACCACGAGCGATACCGAAAGAAGCTGGACGACAGAGCTTTCGAAGGCAAGCTATGTGGTTTCGGCCTCGACAGCCAGACCTACCGGGTATTCAATTCATCCAACGGGGCCGTGGTCGAGAGCCGGAATGTGACTTTCATCGAATCCCCACCCCGCTCAGTGCCATTCCAGCATTCCAGTGAAGCAAACGGGTACGAGAGCGACGTGCTGAGCTTCACCTCCCTGCTGGACAGCCCCCACTCGACGAGCGACCTGGACTTCACGGCGCAGAAGGAACTCCTTCGGCAAGAAGTCCGGAAGATGCAGCAAGACTATCTCGCTCGGGAGGAACTTCGCCTAGAACTGGACGGGAACGAGGACTAACATGGAAACGGGCAAGATCTCAGCGACGGGGACGCCCCATCACCGCATCTCTCATCGACGCCAGCTGGACCGTCGTCCGAAACCCACGCATCTAGCCCCAGCCCATCATCGTCGAACCCATCTGAACCGGACACTTCTGCATCAACTGGATCCTTCGGCATGCGGCGCCTGCAAGTCACCAGAGCTAGCACGCGCGGGAAGCCCACCAGCGACGATCATATCGACGTCAACTTGGTTCCTGCCGATCTGCAAGTCACCATGAACGACCGCGGTCGAGTCCATGCTGCAACGGGCCGCGTGCAGCCATCCGGTCCTTCCTTCACTCAGCTGGCTGAGGTAGCCGATCAAGCCCAGCTCCCATTCCTGGCAATACTGAGGATTTCGCCCACGTGGCGGAAGACTCCTTCACGGTGCCGCGTGCTCACGCCTACGTCACGACCACTCACGACCACCACGGGACCTTGGAGGAGACGAATCAAGCGATCGACATCCCCCACACCTACGACGAAGCCATGAGCTCTCCCCAGCCCGAAGAATGGAAAGGAGCGTGCAGCAAGGAAATGGTCAATCTCCGGAAACACAACGTCTTCAATCTGGTGCCCCTCAGTAGCGTTCCCAAGGGAGAGAAGATCCTCGCAACGAAATTCGTCTTCAAGACAAAGCTGGACGGACAATTCAAAGCTCGCCTGGTAGTCGGAGGACATCGTCAAGAGCCAGGACAGGATTACGGACGCAGCTACGCCCCATTATGCCGTATCAGGAGCATTCGCATGACGTACGCCTTTGGCTGCCACAACGACTGGCCCATCTACCAACTGGACGTTGTCGGTGCCTTCCTAACAGCCCTCTGCGACAGAGACGTGTACGTCAGACCCGCCCCCGGTACATCCGCCAAAAACTCCGCGACTCATGGTGGACAAATTAAGACGGAGCCTCTACGGCCTATCGCCGTCGCCGGCGCTCTGGAACGACACCCTGGACGAGTCTCTCACGGTGTTCGGATGAAAAAGGACTCGATCCGACCCCTGCGTGTACGTGTATACCAGCGGCAGCATCATCGTGATTCTCACGGTCTACGTACACGACATTCTCATCACGGTAGGAGACCAGCAGCTCGTGGACCAGAAGAAGAAGGAGTTCACGGACTGATTCGAGATGACCGACATGGGAGGGGTAAAGCGGATCCTCGGGATTGACGTAGAGCGGGTCTACGAGCAAGGAACCCTGGCCATTTCACAGGAGCACTACGTAAACACACTTCTGGAACGGTTCGGAATGCAAGAGGCCAACCCAGCGAGCACTCCTGGATACGGAGCGGGGTTGTCCACGAATCAACCTCAGGACCAAATCCTAGGACCCGCTGACAAGAAAATCTACCAGTCGACGACGGGAAGCATTCCTACCTGGCCCAGTGCACGTGATTCGACCTCTCTTAGGCGGCCCTACAATTGTCCAAGACCTGCAGCAACCCAGCGCAAGTGAACATGACAGCAGCCAAGCATGTTCTGCAATAGCTTGGGGGTAATCCAGTTCTTCCGATCGTCTACAAGAGAGGAGAGTTTCGGCTAGCGGCGTTTACGGATTCATCCTTCGGATCAAACCCCGATAACGGAAGATCTACCACGGGACATCTGTTCTTCCTGGCTGGAGGACTCATCAGCTACGATGCGAAGACTCAAACTCTAACCGCGCAAAGCACGGTCAAAGTCGAGATTCAAGCACTTAGCTACTCAGCCAGAGAGGCGGTCTATATCTCAAATTATATGACGGAACCCAACTTCAAGACCTTCGAATCGGTTCCCATCAACCGCGACAGCACTGGAAAGCTGATAGTGGCCGGGAATGCCATGCACTCTCAACGCACGAAGCACGTGGTCCTGAGGTTGTTTTTCATCCGGGAGCTAGTACTGCGGGGACAAATCACTCTTCACCACCGGCCCAGCGAGCACCGTTGGCATAGTCTATATCGCGACCAAGCACCTACCAAAGCACCGATTCGCCTCCATCATTCAGCAGATCAAGGACTCCTCGTGTTGATCGAATACAGCTTCCTACCATACGCGTTATACAAGAAGGAATAAATTTTCGATGCGATGCAAACGGAGGGGTCGAGGTAGAAACGGATATGGTGATGCCGTTGACCATTGTGAATTAGTTGCTTGATCGAGGGGTCGCGTCAGGAAAAATCGTGCGTCGAGACCACCAGTAGTCGGACACGGTTCGACCTTTCAATACGATTGCAGCAACTAGTCTGTGTAGCAGTAGAAAAAATCTATCTCTCCGTGGCATGTATTATCTTGTTCTAGAAATATTCCGGAAGCATGCTAGGTCAAGGTCGACCGCGACGTCTACGTAAAACGTGTGTAGCTTCTGGGAACGTTCTGGAACGTTCTGGAACCTCCTGGAACCTTCTGGAAGCGTTCTAGACCTAGGTTGCACTTGATACTCTTCTAGAACGTAGGAGGGCTTCTATAATCATTCTGGAAGCATTCTAGATCTTTCGAGGGATTGGCTTATTTTTCCGGTATTCGAGGAGAGTGGTGCAGCCCTAAGCTCGCCACCCCTCTCACTCTTCTCTTCAGTACCAGCAACATCAATCTGACTCGGGAGTCAGCAATAAAAACATCGTCATATTTCCATTCCAAGTCTCTCGCGGTTGGAGCCGCACAGAGTGTAAACCTCTGAGGTAGGCTACACTGCCTCCTGGCATCTGCAGCATCGTCCTGCTGCTAGTGCACAGCGAAACTACGCCGACAGGTTTATGAGTCTCGGCTAAAACACACAGCGAAACTACGCTGACAAGGAGCCGCCGAAATGCTACTGTCCTAAATACAGTGTCATCTCTGAAGCATTAGACCGAAACGGCCCACGTCCACATTTATACGCAACGGTAACAGCAAGGCGTAGAGCGAAGGGTACAGTTAGCGCCCGCACAAAAGAACTTAACAGCCACGGAATTGAGCTTCGCAAAGATGAAAATAAGAACTTGAGCACTATGTATTTGCGAGCCCGGATGAGAACCTACTCTAAAACCTACGTTTCATAATTAGCGGTCATATGCAGCGCAAGCCTTCTGTCTGCGTAAGAACGCCAGCCTTGGCCAAAACTGTACTACAGTAGCAAGCTACCAAGGCGCCGCCACCCAAAGAAAAAACGGGCTCCTGCTCCCGCACAACAGTCGTAGGTAGTAGGGCGTAGTCACGGGCAAACCACGGATTGATTACTTCCGGGGTTCACAAACGAGATGCCAGCACAAGGCACACGACGACAACAACAAAAAAAGTCAGAAACACATGTACGGCGCTCCAAACTTGTTAGGCCGAGAATTCCTCCGAGCCGAACATTTTCTCCACAGTCCGAGCGTACCTGACGACACAGCCGGAACAGGGGGGAGTCGACAACGAACGATGTCGAAATGAATAGCAGTATAGCGGCATGGAATTTGCTCATAAAAATCTTCTACTCGGGCTAGCATCAGAGATGATTTGTGTCAGAATAGGCAGATAAGTCACCGTTGTGATGAGCAAATTCCACGCCACTATTGCTTTGTCAACCTTATGCTCGCCATACTCCGCCCTCAGTCCAGCCATGTCTACTCCTTCTATTCCAACATGTATGTCCTCGTCACTCATCATGACCTCATGCACACCTTCCTGCGCAACTATTGCAAGCATGTTCGACTTGATAATCAAAAGTTTAGCCTGCCTATCCTCCCCTGGCTTGAAAGCCCCATCCCAAGTCTCTAATCTTCTGGTTTCTGTCATGCGCAAAGTCCCTACTTGTGGTACTCTACCGAAGTCCCCGGATGTGGTCTGGAGACGGCCAGTCACGGCGTTGGCGATCGTATTGGCGATGGCGTCGGCGGAGGGGTTGGCCGATGGGTTCCCCGCGTGTTGCTGGTGGTGTGCCCCTTGTTGCTCGTTCCCCGTCCGGAAGTTATCTGTCCTCAGCTGCTCGTCTTGTCGCCGTAACTCTATCTCGGCCAGCCGTGCTGCTAACCTCTGGTTCACCATGTAGACACTCCCAACACACAGAACCGAGCCACCCGAATTATCGATCACGCTAGCGTATGACACGTCGTCTACGAGATTCGCGGTCGAGCATAGTTGAGGAGTATCTCTTTGCGGCGATCGGGAGCACGATCAAGATGGCAGAACCCGGGCGCGTGAGCGACGACGCCCGCCGAGCGGGACCAACAGCAGCTGAGGAAGCTCGAATCGAAGACATCGTGAACCAGAGGCTAGCAGCAAGGCTGGCCGAGATAGAGTTACGGCGACAAGACGAGCAGCTGAGGACAGATAACTTCCGGACGGGGAACGAGCAACAAGGGGCACACCACCAGCAACACGCGGGGAACCCATCGGCCAACCCCTCCGCCGACGCCATCGCCAATACGATCGCCAACGCCGTGACTGGCCGTCTCCAGACCACATCCGGGGACTTCGGTAGAGTACCACAAGTAGGGACTTTGCGCATGACAGCAACCAAAAAATTTCAGCCTTAGGATGGGGCTTTCAAACCAGGGGAGGATGGGCAGGCTAAACTTTTGATTATCAAGTCGAACATGCTTGCAATATTTGCGCAGGAAGGCATGAGGTCATGATGAGTGACGAGGACATACATGTTGGAATAGAAGGAGNAACGATCGCTAACGCCGCGACTGGCCGTCTCCAGACCACATCCGGGGACTTCGGTAGAGTACCACAAGTAGGGACTTTGCGCATGACAGCAACCAAAAAATTTCAGCCTTAGGATGGGGCTTTCAAACCAGGGGAGGATGGGCAGGCTAAACTTTTGATTATCAAGTCGAACATGCTTGCAATATTTGCGCAGGAAGGCATGAGGTCATGATGAGTGACGAGGACATACATGTTGGAATAGAAGGAGTAGACATGGCTGGCCTGAGGATGCACTATGGCGAGCACCAGCTTAACCATGCAATACCATCAGAGATGATTTGTGTCAGAATAGGCAGGTAAGTCACCGTTGTGACGAACAAATTCCACGCCGCTATTGCACTGTTAACCTTATGCTCGCTATAGTTCATCCTCAGTCCAGCCATGTCTACTCCTCCTATTACAACATGTATGTCCTCGTCACTCATCATGACCTCATATGTACGCATCAATTTTAGGCCGACGGCACGTAAAAGCCAGCGTGCGTCCTGTTCAGAGTTACGAGAAAACCAAAAAACCGTCCGGCATCAATGTTCGGTCACCATGATCGGCATCCGAATCGTTCCATGTACCCAGGGCTACAAGCCGGCAGATAACAGCTTCAGCCTATCCTGCGACTAAATAGTCGCTTCGCACCATCGAAGAAAATCATCCCCCATGCATACCCTTCTGCATATCTATCGGCCGCCTCTCGGTAACATGGCGAGGGCTGATGAGGCTGATGAGGCTGCAACCCTGTTTCTCTTGTATCGTTAGTGCCAGCTACGATAGCTAGCTATGTCGCTGCTGCTTGCCAAGCCAAGGCGGCCGCTGTGTAGAGACAGCACATGCGACAAGGAAACAAGCATGGTCAACAATGAAAACACAAGAGGGGGGGAGGGGGGCTTGCTCTCACTTTCCCAGGGCCCAGATGGGGTAGACGTTTCTGTACGAGGTGTAGGTGATGCCGGTGCTGCGATTGAACACGCCCGCGATGCCCTCTTGCTCCCAGTCCCCGCTAGGGAGCTGCATCTTCCTGCGGGGAGAAACAGAAGCACGAAACAGCCTTGTACTTAGTCTAGCGGACTATTGCAAGACAACTGCAATGGACGGACATGGCTCTACTGGAACGCCATCCGAAGCAGGCACGAAAAAAGACGGCAGCCCAGGAAAAAGTTGGCCACGACCGACCGGCGTTAGGCAAGGAGCGCCACTCACACTTCGCAAGTCAGAAAACAACAAATGGGAAAAAGCAGGCTACGACCGTCTGTCACGGGGTGACCACACATGGACGGCATCGCCAAATAAAAACCAACGAATTCAACAACAGCGCTCCCGCAACAGGCAACCACAACGCTACCCCAACAGGCAACCAACAGCCAACAAGACGGGTAACCAACAAAAAACACTACCAAAAGCAGCGGCAACAGCAACAGACTACAGAGCGGCGGTGGTTGGCTTGTTACCGAAGGAAGAGAGCGCCTTTCCACAGGGCTAGCCTGACGTCCTCCCTGTCCTCCCACTGCTCAGACGCGATCAGCGTTAGCATGGCCCATCCCGTGTGGACCACCTGTTCGGTTACCGGAGGTTAGTCCCGATAAAAAAAAGAAAAGAAAAAGAAAAAAAAAACACACGTACAAACGTTTGAATTGGTCAGCCGGCTAGCGCGGTCGATGCTCAATGAAAACACACAGATACTATGATGATCACGAGCCGTCCTGCCCTATATCCATTAAGGCAAAAAAAATATCTTGGAAAACAATCGCATAGTGGACACAAGTTCTTCCCATGAGAAACAAAACAAGGGGGAAAAGGAACCCATCATCCATTCATAAGAGCATATTGCCGGAGCTCGGGTTGATGCATAAAGCAAACAAGGATCCGAGAAAATACACGGTTTCCCGCCAAATAAGGGGATATCCTACCTGGGCAGTTTTGTGTTCATGCCACAATGTTGACCTCATTGCCGAATTAGGCCAACTCCGCTTGGTCGGGAAACAAGAAAGAACTTGACCTTAACCCAATGTTTTCGCAAGAACTCCACCAACAGATACCGGGACGTTCATGTATTACTCATGTTTCAAGAGGAAGAAATACCGTCGTTCAACCTTTTCGGCTACGCAAGTGAGTCTCCGAGTAGCACAACGGCGTTTCTTCCGGCCGTTTCA